TAATATAATTTCAGTCTGTAACAAAAAATGTAAAAGTACCATAAAGCTGTGTGTGCTACAGATATAGTGACAGAAGAGACAAGGATTAAAACGTCAACATGTCTCCTTTTAAAAGTCTGCAAATTTGAATTTATTTACTTCGATGCAAATGTAATCTGACCAGAATTGTATCTAATAATATACAGTAAGTGTTTAAAAGTAGCCTATAAAGCTGCTGAAACTGCTGTTAGTTATTGAGTCGACTAGTAAAAAGTAGCTTCTGTGGCATTTATTGCTTTGCTGTACAGGCTGCATCATGCTACAATTTAGTACAAATTATTAAACAGTACAGCCGCTGTTACTTCTGGTAATAATTCGCTATCTGTCCTGATGCATGCTCAATAATCCAGGTAGAAAAATCTAACAAGGTTAAGTCAGGTCAGGTCATCTGGACGAATTCTTCTTTGCTGAAGAATTCGTCCAGATGACCTGACTTAACCTTGTTGGAAAATTCATTATCAGCTCTCTACATGAATTCTGAAAATGTACTTTTAAAGCTTGGGTATAGATTAGACACTGATCACTGCAGTTAGCTGCAGCTAGCAGAGCAGAAACACAATCTACATGTTAAAAAGTTTTGAAATCATTGGAAGTTAGTTGTTATTTATACTTCAGGTCTAGTTTACATCGTCATTAGCCTTCTATAACATCTAGCTGTTTTACATGATTGTTGTATGAAATTAACATTCATTTTTAGATGCCAGCTTAGCTTCTCCACAATGTCACCAATGCAAATAATAGGTGGGATGGGCAGACTGGGCTGGAGCAGAGTGGAGAGAGACATAAAAAAAGTGTCATTTTTAGTGGATTTTATTTGAGCAGGCATTGTCACCTCTTGCCCCAGCGTGTAGCCAGCCTCCCATAGAATACTATTCTTTCAACAACAGTTATGAGCTTTGTTTTGTTCTTCTCCTATTTATACTGTATGAATCTACTGTATATACTTACAGTTTTGATATACAGTTTTGTGGAAGTTTCTTTGTGTTTGGCTTGTTTTTTCCACATAACTACTTAGAAAATATCCTTGTGAGGTATGATAAACTTGTGAACCATTAAAGACCTAGAGGCCCTTGAAGAAATGCATCTCACCCCCCAGCCTTCATGTCAGTTTGAGACCAAGATCATCTTATGCTGAGAAACAGCATAAGAATCCTTACCAATAAAATTAGTAAGGAGGCCACATCACAATACAGATTTCTCCCAATATTTGCCTTCAGTTCAGTTTAACATTAACTCACACGTAAACTAATCTAAGTTTATTTAATGATGTTGTTTTTTTTCTTTTCTTTTACAGGTTGAAGAGCAAGGTGTGGTCAGTCCTGATGCCAGTATTGGTTCTGGTTTCAAGTAAACCGAAGAGGAAGTGTTTTATTTTATTTTACAAAAAATATGGTTAAAGTACAATATCCTCATGTATTAGTTGCATTTCTCAGCTAAGACTGATTTTTGTTAGTCACCTATGTAACTTTAGAATGAGTGTTTATATGCAATTCAAGCACAAAGAACAGAGAAACACAATAAAGAGATCAGAATAACCCTTGTAAAAAAATTTCATTGCTTTTTATTGTTAGAATTTTCTTTAAAATAATTACTCATGAGTCCAGGATTGAAACTTGACATAAATACATAGTGTACATAAAATACTTGCAATGACAGTAATATTGCCCTTACATATTTGTAAGGACAGTATCATACAACAAAACCCTGAAAACAGTGTTGTCTATACATTAACATGACTACCACCTCTATAAACCAGTACAAATATAGTATTTATACATTCTCAGTACCCAAGAAGATTTCCTCCCATGTCTGCAGCCACCACCTCTACGTTCCAACTAGCTGGGAAATGCCTTATTTCTTCTCGCACAGTTTGTTTCGACTGAAAAAAAGTCCATTTTGTTTAAGTAGTTGAAAAGACAGAAAAGTAACAGACAAATACTGTGACGTGTTTTTTTTTTTTGCTAACACTTGTTAGCCCGGGCTTTGGGCTCCATAGGGAGCAGATGGTCCTCACAATGTAGCATAAGCTTGAAAAATGGATCTTACAAAGTAACATAAACACACACACACACACACAAAGTTGCAATCAGAAGTTTTCAACCCCCCAAACGTTTCAATGATTTATCAAAGTGTCTTCTAAGAGCAAGGTTCTGCTTTGGATGAACTCCTTGTGAGTTTAGTGATCGATCCATAAAAGCAACACTGAAAATGCACAATGTAGTATTTGTGTGTAACACTATATTTTCCCAAGCCAGCATTGTCATAATTATTCAACCCTTCCATAATGTTGTTTTAAAAGCTGTTTGACAGTTTTTCTGGCCTAAAGTGGAGTTGAATCATAATCAAGCCATTGAGAAGTACGATAGATAATGACCCTACATTAGCTTCAGCTGTGACGTGTATATACGTATAAACGCAACCCAAGAAGGTATTAAGGCGAGTTGCAAACATGGGCAAGGAGCTTCCAGAAACATGGAGAGAATATTATTTCATCACACCTGAAGGACTTTGAGTATAAAAAGATTTCCCAAAGATTTTATATTCCAAGAGACACCACTGGGAGCATGATAAGAAAGTTCAATCATATGGAACAGCTGCAAACCTGCCTGGCCCTGGAAGAAAGCCATACATTTTATCAAGAGCTCTGAGCAATTCAGTCAGAAGAGCTAAAAAAAATGTGTGTGACTGCAAGACACCTACAGGATAACATGATGAAGGCTGGTACTAGTGCTTCAGTGGCATCCATAAGACATGCACTGCATAAAGAAGGTCTTCATGCTCGAACTCCAAGACCCACTCCACTTTTGACCACAAGGAACATCAGAAGTTGACTAGAATATGAAAGGAGCAATTTTGATAAGTCTACAGAGTATTGGGAGACAGTTTTATGGACTGATGAAACCAAACTGGAACGGTGTGGATAAATGGACCAGCGGTGTCTGGCAAATGAAAGTCCACGCTTATGATCAGAGGAATACAATCCCTATAGTCAAGGACTGAGGTGGATAAGTGACTATGTGGGGCTGCTTTTCTGCGGTAGGAACTGATAATCCTAATCATGTAGGCCTAACGGGCATTATGGATTCCCAGAAACATCAGGTCATTTTGAAGAGGAACATAATGTCTTCTGTCAAAAAATGAAACCTTGGTGATCACTGGACTTTCCAGCAAGACAGCAATCCCAAGCACACCTCCAAGTCTAAACAAAGCTTGGTTGATTTGTCCAAAAATGAATCAGAGTGGACTTCTCAGTCACCAGATTTAAATCTGATTGAAACTCTTTGGTGGGATTTAAAGAAGGCGGTTGCAGCAAGGAAGCCATCAAACATCACCCAGCTTGAAGCTTTTTTTAAATTAATTAATTTATTTTGAGTGTAAAGAATTCCAGCTGAGAGGTGTAGGAAGCTTGTCAACACTTATCACAACCATTTGTTGGCAGTAATAAAAGCTAAAGGATGCTCCTAAGTACTAAAGTTGGCGGTTGATGAAAACTGCACACTCGCATTCATTAAAAAAAAATTGCTCCCCGGGTGCTTATAGCTGCCCACTGCTCCACCTGGTTGATTTCAGGTGTGATGGGTTAAATGCAGAGAGCCTATTTTGTCATAGTATGGGAACATACAATGATGACAACACATAGCACTTACATGTATGTTGATAGACTTGGAAGAGCTGACACCTCTCAGCAAGAAGGTTGCCAGATTGCCACGGGGCCATTCTGGGTGGAATTTGCATATTTTCTCTGTGCATGCATGAGTTTTCTCTGGGTACTCCAGTATGCTCTCACAACTAAAAACATGCATAGGCTGATTAGTAACTCTTAAAATGTCCCTAGGTTGGGTTCAATTCAAAAATACTTTGAATACTCTGATGAAGCCCTGGGGATAGAGGGCGAAACGGCTCCATAAAAAAAGAGAAACTGTCCAGATGACCCAACTGAGAATTATTGGATTTGATACCTGGATGATTGAGCATGAACTTTGTTGTCAAAAATACTTTATTAATCCCAGAGGGAAATTAAATGTTGTTGTAACTCATCATCCTGGTTTCATTAAAGAGTTGTTCTAGATGCTGATGCTGTGGGCAGGAAGGATCTCTTGTAGCGGATCTGAAGAAGCCTCTGACTGAAGACACTCCGTTGTTGTATGACAGTCTGATGTTGTATGACAGTCTGTTGTTGTAAGACAGTCTGTTGTTGTATGACAGTCTGATGAAGAGGATGATGAGGGTTGTCTATAATGTTCTTCATTTTGTGAAGAATCCTTCTTTGTACAATCATCTCCAAAGATTCTAAAGGAGTCCCCAGAACTGAGCCAGCCTTCTTTATGAGCTTGTTGATCTTTTTTAAGTCACTTGCTCTGGTGCTGCTCCTCCAGCAGATGATGCAGAAGAGACAACAAACTCTACAACAGACTTATAGAAGATATGCAGCATCTTGCTGCAAACACTGAAGGACTTCAGCTTCCTCAAGAAGTACAGTCTGCTTTGTTCCTTCTTGTAGATGCTTCACTGTTGCATCTCCAGTCCAGTCTGATGTCCAGGTGAACCCCAAAGTATTTATATTCCTTCTTATGAATTTGGGGCTGTAATTGAGGCATTTGGGATTTTGAGATGTTAATCAGTTGCTCCTGATCTTAAAAAACGAACTAAAGAAGCTGCAAATATATGTTTAAAACAGAAATGTGGTTAAAAAAAAAAAACTTATATGGGTACACTGAATTTGTATTGGATTTGGAACCCGGATGATTGAGCATTAACTTTGTTTCCTAAATGGTTAGTACAGTAAGTCTTCTGTTACAAATAAGAGGAAATAGAAGAAACAAGAACAA